TGCTACATGCCAGTATCTTCACTCCTACTGTTCATCAGTTCCTAACTGATATAACCCTCAGGCTGAGTTACAGAACCATACGAATCGGGCAAATTGTGAAAATCAAGGATCTTTGAGTGTTTTAAGGGAAGAAATGGTGCAATATTGAACATAAGAAAGTCTGAGGGCCCTCCTCGAGGATTCTGAAAAGTATCTCAGCTATGCAAACTCAATATTTTAAACAGTTTTCACAGTCTGTTGCCCTTTCAAGGCGGCAAGTTGTTAACTCCCAGAAGCCCCAACCTGCATGACCAAAGCTGGCTTGGAATGCTGGGAGCAACCATTTCAACACAGGGGGACACAGGGTTGGAAAGGCCAGTCCAGATTGTGTTAATTAGCAATATCTATTACATGAAGTCAACGTAGCACTTGATAGGCCTCAAGGCTCAGGCTAACATGTCTGGGTTGTAAAACTGCAGGCAGCCACTAGATGACAGCAAAGAGGTATCTGAGATGATTTCATGTGGGGTTTTGCAGCCCAGATTTGATATCCCTCATCAAAGCAACTATCTTTTGTATCACAATACCTTTAATGAGAAGACTTCTTAAAGTAGTAGCACTTTTTTTTTCCAGAGGCCTTCTGAAAAAAGGCTTCTTTAATGAATAGGAGAAAGATGCTGCACTTGCACTAGGACTGAAGGACTTCTTCTACATCCTCTTTGAAGCAGATGCAGCATTATCCATATATTCCAGATTACCTGGGCAGTGGACAATCAGTGCAAATGTTTGATGACCCAGATGGTGCAAAAGAATGATTCCTTTACACAGAAGGTAATATAAAATTGTGGCTTCCTCTTGAAAACACTTCACCAGAATCCCTTTCTGGGACAGCTGTATTATTTGAAACATGTTAAGTAAGAAATGTTCATGCATGAATCTTTAAAATCTGTTTCCCTTTTATTCCACCACTGCCTGTAATCAGTTTATCCACCCATTCAACTGTGCAACCACAGTCATAATACCACACAACTGGAAATTGCCCAAAAAGAGAATGTGGTTTTTCCAGCACACTAAATCTTGGAAACTAATGGTAATGCATATAATCAGATGTCAGTATTTGATTCAATGGCTCTCCTTCTTGTTTTCCTGGATATAATTTGGAATTGATTTGAAGTGGCAAGAAACAGTTCAGCTAGAACAATGGGAGGAAATGTATAGCCCTCAAAGTGACACCTGTTGTCAATTCCAGTGATCTCTAACTTCAGACCCTCCTGCTATGGCTGATAAAAGCTGGAGTTCAGTACCAATTGGGAAATGTTCCCCTTTCATGAATACTCATCATCTAACAAAAACTAGCATTCATATCCAAGCATTATTTTACCTCCCATCAACATCTTTTCTTTTTTCTTTTCTTTTCTTTTCATTTTTCCTCTTCTCTTCTCTTCTCTTCTCTTCTCTTCTCTTCTCTTCTCTTCTCTTCTCTTCTCTTCTCTTCTCTTCTCTTCTTCCCAGGAATATATACCTGTCCACAATACACCACCACAACAGGTACTAGAACTCTTAATTTTTTTTCAGATTAAGCAACCCTGAAGAAGGTGTGGTCTCCGAAAAGTATTTTATTTATTCATACACTCATCCAATTTGTATAGCCACCCACTCACCAGGCAATTCTGGGCAGCTAGTAAGGGTTAAAAACATGAATACATTGAAAATGATACAATAATAAAACATACTGCATTGCAGGCCAGTTGCACAGCACATAACCAGTCCAGTGCCTGGGGGAAGAATCAGGTCTTCCAGGGCCTTCTTAAAAGCTGGTAGTGTAGGGGCAACTAAATTTCAGCAGGGGGAAGTTCTTCCATAGGGCAGGTGCTCCAGCAGAGAAGGCATGCCTCCTGCATCCCATAAAATGACACTGATTAATTGATGAGCATGTCAACCCCGCTGGATTTTACAGGATGGGCAGAGATAAAGAGACAGATGGTCATGCAAATATCCAGGCCCTATGCCATGAAGGGCTTTATAGGTGACCACTTTCACCTTGAGTTGCATCCAGAAGCTCACTGGTAACCAGTGCAGTATGATATATAGACATACTGAGGTGCACCCATAAATACATATTTTATTGGATAAATGTCACAATGCACTTATTTTCATTCTTCTATCACCAGCATACACAGCAAATTGCTGAAACTGAATAAGAGCACAGATAAATCTGTAGGCCATCCATTTTTTTCCACTGCTGCAAAATCTGCTGCCCCACAGCATTGCAAATAGACACCTGATTCTCCTACTTGCTTATCTCTTCTGTACAGAAATAAACATCTGGCTTATTTTAAGTTTTCTCCTGGAAGAATTATTTTTCCCAAACTTAACCAAACTACATTTTTTGTAGTTTGACCAATGTTGCATTTATTAAAGGCTATTTCACAATTTTTGAAATAAGGATCTATGGAATTATGGGGAAATTACTATAAATAGCATTTCCATTGCATCCATTTTTATTAATGTAAGCAGTGGAGACTTTACTTGGTATAATTTGGTATACAGATTACCTCATTTTATGTTTTGTCCCTATTGTTTCTGATTATACACTATATTCTGGCAAAAAAACATGAGCAATTTGAAACTGCTTTTTTGCCATATGAATGTTTCAGCCCAAATTAAATACCGTGCATTTCCAAAACTCTTCCCCAACCTCAGCTATCACAGAGGGCCTTATTATATTACTCAGTATCAGATGCTCACTGTGTTGATGTTGTGCATCTTGCAAGTGTTGGCAAATGTGTGTGCACATCTGATGCCACTAAAAGCAGGCTCTCATATGAATCTCTTCATGTTTGCATCTGTTACTGAGTTGAAGAAGAAGCCATCACTGCTGTTTGTGCTAACATAACCTCAAATAGACTTCCTTGCAGCTGAGTTCACACAATTACAAGCATCAAAAAAGTCAAGT